GAGTAGAGTCATATTGGTAATTTTATAAGGTTGATTCAGAAGTCTTGGGACATTCGGATGAATGTTTCAAATTCTTTCACGATTTCATTTGAACTCTCACTCACTTAACTACGTAACCACCGTCATTATCTATGACATTCATCCGCTCGGCTCTTCTCTTCCTACAGGAAGAGGAGGACCGTGAGAAGTCAACCACAGCATTTTTGAGGTCACTAAAAGTGCCGAGTTCTTCTTGGCCAGAAACTGCTTTAAGTGTCCAAAAAGGCGATAGTTAGAAGGAGAGAGGTCAAGGGAATAGGGAAGGTGGGGAGTGTTATTTCGACCAAATCTTCCTGTAACCTGGACTGCGTGGTCTTTGCGATATCAGGCCGAGCGTTATCATACAGAAGATGGACAGATGATCCAAAAAACTTTTGGATCGTTCTTCTTCATTTGCATTAGCGAGTCCCTGCAGCTGAACGCTGTAGATGGCAGCCGTGACTGTCTGGCCTTGAGAAAGCAAATCGTGATATAGCGTTCTCTTCGAGCCCCAGAAGCAGCTCGGTGAACTTGCATCTAATGACATTCCTTCAAGGTACTATGTGGAGACCTGATCTCTTCAATTTGAGCACCAAACCACTAATTTCTCTTTTCAAAACTTTTAATAAATTCAAAATACAAAAAAAAACTTTGAAAATTCAAACTTTAGGAAATTTTCAAGAGTTGTCAGAGTGAATGGGGATCCAGACGGTGAAAGGATTCACTTCATTTCAGGGTGCTCTAGCAAAAGTTGTTGCTGATGCCGATACTCAAGCCAAGGATGTACGCCAAATTAACGCTCATTTCATGTCAGAAACTGGAGTGATAGAAATTTTCGTAACTCTTGGACCTCAGCCGGGAGATTCTGTTCGCCAGCTAGCTAAGCTCACTGGAGTCTATCCTCTGCCACCGGTAAGTGAAAAGGCTATAAGCGAAGTGACAGGTAATGAAGACATTGTGCTCACGAGGGAGCGATGGTAGGTCGAAGTGGCTATTTGAAATGATATGCATACCTGGTGATGCGATTTCAAGAGCTGATTTCTGAGCTGAACTATGCGGATTTGGGGATTGATGCCAGGAAAAAGAATCCGCCCGCCCATTTTTTTTTCGCTTTATTTCTCAAATTGTTAACAGGAACTAGATTGTCAAAATTTCTCCATTGCTCAACTTATTGATTTTTGGGGAACTCCTTTTTGAATTCTAACTCTAACATTGTGGCACTCCAATGTACGCAGCGCACGAAACAAGCGTTTTCAGCAAGGTGACCCCCGCCTGGCTTAAGCGTTAGACACGGGTGGACACTGAAGTGGCTCTCAATTATTCCATACTTTGGCCGCAGTCACGTACATTGAGGGCGAACTACATTCAACGACGCCTACTTGCTGTGCAAGGCACGTACCCTGCATCCTGGGCAGCGAGTCAAGAAATAGAGCGACGCTTGCAGCGTTCGCCGTCCCGCTGGTGCGGGCGCCTGAACGCGCGCCACGTCGCAGTTCGAACGCTGCCGCCCTATCCAAGTGAAGGGCAGTTGGGTCGTGTGGCAATCAACCACCTCTACATAAACGCGCTTAGTACTCTGCGCGGGCCTGCCTCGACAACATTCTCTCTCCGTTGATGGAGGGCGGTCAAATAAAACGAAAAGGGGATGCGAGCACACGCTTTAGCGCGTCAATACGTCCGCATATTGTAACGTGACTTACAGCAGAACATCATAATGCACGCATCATTTCAGGTGCTCACCGTGTCCAAACGGCTATAAGTCTCCCCTGCCTTCTTAACGTTATGTTATCCCTCTAGACGAGGTCCGAGTTGAATCTGGGTTTAAGCCTTTGGATCGAAAAAGTGAAGATCTCCAGTTGTCGACGTCGACGCCGGTTCACGATTACCCTCAAAAACTTGCTTTTACCAAAATTCCGTCTCCAGGGGAAATTGAGGGTCTCAATCAGGATGGCTACCATTTATAGCGCCAGCGCGAAATGCCACTCCGAGCTTTTTCCAACGAGTTCACTAGAACCCTAGCTTTAGAACATATTCAGTCACCTTGCGCTGAAAGCGAAAGTAGTTTTCCTCGGGTTAATTCGCACCGTCAACTCTAGAAGACGTTTTCTTTTCACGAGGAATTTGCGCGTGTAACGCACGCTTGCTGCGTGCGTTACACGCGCAAATTCTCGAATTCTCCATAAGGTTACTCAGGCATGCAATGGTTCCCTCGAAGTGTTAGTGCAAATACGATGTCTTCATGCAATGTGATACTCGTTTTTTAGCGAATCATTCTATTCCTATTTATCGAGTTTTCGCAAAATTAATGCTTCAGAGGGGCTCCATGGGAAAGCTCTCCGGCGACGCGGACGCGTTCGCGTGTTGATGACGTCACAGTGGCGGGGAGGGCGAGCAACAGCCCTCTCCCTCCATAATTCAATACATTATGTAATCTAAGCATTTACCACGCTCTTATTTATCTGTAAAATAAAAAAGAAGCAAGTAAGAATCGCGCTTTAGCTTGAGTGTGTCCTTCAAAGGGTTTGAAGCCTCGACTTCCTTTCCATTTTCAATAAATTCCAATACCTAGAACGAGTTTAATACCTGTGTATATCACGATCATTTTGCCCGCAACAAAACTTATTGGATAAGTTGGTATGGTGAAAGAAACCCTGCGCTATTTGAGCGAAGTGGCAGCTGCGCCGTGACGTCATTTGACGTCACCATTAGGCGCTCGCATCAGCGCCGCAGGTGTGCTTTTCACTCCCCCCCCCCTTTAAAAGGAATAAACACGACAGCTCGAGGGTGAAGCGATGTTTATGGCGTCATTGAGTATAATTGGCTGGAGGGCTTTGGGAGATGGCAACCACACTTCCCAGCGAGCTGAGGGACCTGATACACTATGACGTTACACGACCGCATCAACATTGGCCCACCAGCCATCATGCATGTTTACGAGCAATTCTTCGAAAACAAAAATGCAGTAACATGCACAGTCCCACTGTGAATCGTGGACATCCATGCAATTTTTGAAATTCCTTGGTTTGTGTTTGTACGGGTCCTCAGAAACATCGAGGAACCATCGACTGTGGCACGCAATGTGGCGAGTAGGACTCGTCAAGCTCATTTCGGAGCGGTTTCTTCAACCAATCCCTGGATATAATGTGTTTTATGCAAGCCTCTGCTTCTAGAATGGATCCGACTGCGTACCCTATCGAGCTCGGATCTGGAATGCTGTTCTACCACCGTTTAAGCGACAAAGTCGAAAAAATCAGTTCTGTATCAATGCTGCACTAGTACTGAGCCGCCCTTGCCTCGTAAACGGGAGATCCTACATGATGGAAGGCCCAGCAACGATTTTCAAAGTGAAAATAAACTCAGGATAGCAAAGGGCTCTGGTAAGTCCGAAAGAGCCTCCCTGATTCTTATCTCTCGTGACATCAGTGAAACCAGCGCGTCAACTACCTGCAAATTCTATCGCACACAATCCTTAGATTGTTCGTGGCCGCCACAGAAACACGCCCTTCTCATCCAGAATGACTGCATTCAGCTCCTTGTCCCCTATACCACTTGGAGCATCTATTGATAGTGCTCGGGTATACAACAAAACGATGATAATTGTCGCGTGCCAAAAACTCTCAACGTCGAAGTCCAATGAATTAGGGACCGTGTCGGTATCAGTCAACCGCTGCAGCTACCATAGATTTTGATGGTTGAACAAGGTAAGCATAAACAATCCTACACCACAGTACCAAAACTAGGACAGAAGAAAACAGCATCTGTGAATATCAGTTCAAATTGTCTGCTCATGCGTTGTCTCCGTAATTTTGGCGCACCCTGTATAGAGAACACCTATGAATGCAGAGAAACCCCGCCCATAAAGGGCCCAAACCTGGCAGTCACGATGACGGCATGTTAACGGCTGGGTCTCCCTGCGGTCAGCTCTGGGACATCGCATGCGTCTCCGTTCGCATACCAAGCTTGAGTCTCCTCCACACCACAAACTCTGCGACTCTGTTCAGAAAATGGTTTAGCAGATAAGGAATACAGTTGTGAGATCGGCTTCTAAAGAGGCATTACCTGCTGCTCATCTCATCACAAATTGTCCCTTCGACCTACAATCGTTCCCTTGTCTATAGCGCAACTTTGTGATATTGATATCCAGGGTGCTATGCAAAGCTCTATGGACCAATTCATGAAAAGCAGGTGAGATTATTCTTTCAGGAGTTCTCCCTTGCTTATCATCAATCACGTTGGAACTATAACGATCAAAAAGATGTGAAAGAGGTAAGCAGTCTGTGAAGATCATCAGTTCTAATCCACTTTTTGTTCACTTTCCAGGTTCATGAAGGATTTGATGAGCACGACATTCCCCTCGATGTACTTTGGCTAGATATCGAACACACGGATGGCAAACGATACTTTACTTGGGATCCGGAGAAGTTCCCGAATCCTTCCGAAATGATTGAAGATCTCTCGTCGAAAGTAAGGAAATATTGGTTTCTGAAAGTTGTATGCTATCAAAAGAAGAACGTTTTCAGGGTCGCAAGTTAGTCACCATTGTGGATCCTCATATCAAGAAAGACAAGAAATATTCTGTTTACGCTGATGCAAAGAAACAGGTAAATCTGACCGGTTTGACATTACGTTTTGATGGAGAAAATAAAGAAGAATTTCTGTCGCTCATAAGTATAGGTGTCGCTGATAGAAGCGCTAGCTTCTTATTCAACACTTGAAGACAACACTCGCAAAAAATTGATGTTCATGAGAAAAATATGGGCGATGGAGAGGAAGAGGAGGTCCCGGCTGCTGATGTGGCCCATTCCAACCCTATCAGAATCCTATCAACCCTATCAGCAAAGTCATAAGATGCAAAAAAGGATACAACGAAATCCGGACCTACCGTTAAGGTTGAAGGTAGCGCTCTGCGTGATTTTCTTCTCACGAGTGCTTTTCATATCCAACCGCCTCAGCTAGATGTATTAGGCACAACCCACCCAGTAGTGGTGTGAAGATTCCTTCAGTCTGTAGAATAGAGCCCTAGAGCAATCACAGGCGTGGTACTCCCGTGCATGGAGATCACCTGCCAGAGGCGCTAGGGCCTTGCAAATTAGTTGCTTCAGCTGCGATGAAGGTTTTGGTCCAGCGCCCTCTCGTCTGATGTGCTCTCTCGCCTTACACTCTCTTCTACACGATCAGTCTCTCATTATCTTATGTTGGTAAAGCCAGATTACAAAGGTAAGCAGGCCCTTAATCCCAGCGTTTTCGACAGAATTTTATCCTTTTGTCTTGCTGTTTACCCATTTCGCGACAGTACTTTCATTTCGTGCGCACGAACCACGCCAGGCACGTAACTAAGTTCGGCTCTCGTATTCGCTTATGGATGATTCTTCTGCGCAGTAGTACTACCACTATTCTTTTGTAATAAAATATACAGCGATGAATTATATGACTGCAAGCAGGGTCGGTCCTATCGTTGCTACTTTTTGGATTTTTTCTACGACCACCCCCCCCCTTCATGGGCGAATTGGTACGACCCCCTGTGTGTAGCTCAAGTGGTGATAAGATTACCTAAACAATAATAATCATATGAATTAGAACTTTTTTAGACAAGAATGCTGAATTTCGGTTTCCAATTTGCATAAAAGAGAGTTACATTCCGAAAAACAGCGTAGGCATGAATTAGGACATAAAGTTCATTTATGATACGGACCTCATGGCTGAGGGCCAAGGGTTTGACAGGTTTTGACAGGTTACGTTTCTGTGGTGGATCGCGTCCTCGGTGACCGCAGTTGTTGAAGGGGAACAGGGATGTCGAAAGGGAAAATCGAGAAGTAGAAGAATTTTTCCTCGTGAATTTCAGGTTCCTCGGAGACGGAGGGGTTTGGGATCACCGACGGTCATCCTTTATAATTATAGCGATTTGTTCTTAAACAATTGAAATGATTAATTTATTGAACAAGGAAAGGATTTGGCACTACAATTTTCACCTTCTCTTTTTAATGGCTATAACTTTCTTCATTCACTTTCGCGCCGGAGTTATTTGATTTTAAAAATTCAACTCATTCTCTCTTCCAATCATGGCTGAAATTTTGAGCGAAAGTAATTCAGTAAAATCTAGCAGTTGAAACTTTTTTCTGTGCAAACGCGACTTTTCAAGCATTTGAACGACCATAACTTCCTTTCAAATTCATTTATTTGGGAAGCTGAACCGGCATGAGAAACTACAAGATTCAAGCTTCCTAATGAGATACCCGTATTTTTAAGCGAGTAATTCAAAATTAGTCCGGTGCACATGTTTAGGGGTCGTTCGCGGAACTATTTTTCTGAAACCGACGACCTTTTTCAAGCTTATAAACGGACTATAATCTTCCTTCAAACTCATTTTATTTTGGAGATAGCTTGAACACGTAGGATATAGATAGGGATTGAAGCTTTCTAAAAAAGTACCCAAAGTTTCTTAAATTCAGTAGTTTCAAAAAATAGTCCCGTTGCTACATCCTGTTTGAAGGGCATTTTCAGACATGTTTCTTTCAAGAAGCTGGAGTTTTTTAGGTTTTCACTGCCTTCACTGCACCTTGCAGTGCAGAAACGAAGATTAGTTGCTTGACGGTAGGATCTGTCAGAATGTTTGTGCATGCTCTGTCACTTGGTATATCCCTGTCCGGGTGTGCGCCACGCCTCGGTCGCACTCCTGTTTCCGCTGGATTCATTTTGGAAGTCTTCGGAGAAGTAGGGGTTGTAAAGCGCGTCTTTAGATCAATAATCTTGCGCTAACGTAATGTGCTGAACTTTCCATGTTGCTCTTATTGGCAATATCAGTACACTTTAGTTTTCAAATTTGTGTGTTCGTGCGATGGACCAATGTCATGAGATGAGGCACTTTTATTTTACCGGATGCTACATGCTTGCAGCTGCTGTTTCTGCGAGTATCCTTTCTCATGACTCTTTTGAACATGGTTTAGGGATCAGTTAGGGACATTACCCAAATCCCGCTGCGGCCCGAGGGCGTACGCCCCCCCTTGGGTCCATCAAGTCGAACCCCCGTTGACTATTGTTTACAACATTAGGGTTGACCATGACTGCAAGACATTTATTGTTGAAACGAACACCGAAGCGCGAACAACCGTGAGTTAGGGTGTCACGCATAAGCGCCCGCGGTTTGACGCGGCGAAGGAGAGGACGGAGGGCGGCAAAGGGGGACGAGATCGCAGCGCACGGTTCGTATAGAACTCAACGAGCTGAACTCAACGTCGTTTTCAGATTTTGAAAATCTCAATTTTGAACCGAGTTATGATAGAAACTGTAGCGGTTAGGCGTCAGGTTAAAATGAGTGTACCATACTACATCTCTTATCGCACAGCACGCGCTGCGACTCGTCCTTTGCCGCGTCTGCGTCTCTTCCTTCGCCGCGCGACGGGCCACTTGGGGGATACCCCCGTGAATATCTCGTCCTCGCTGACTCTATTTTATCCATAAACTTGTCCAAATTTGAAATAGAGAAGCAGATGTGGTGTCGTTCCCCGGTTTTTGACCATTTTCGTGCATTCACATTTCAACGGTATAGCCTGTTGCCAGTTTTGTTTCAAGGGTACCCTCCGCTCATTCTTGAACATACCAATCATTGAGTGAGTAGACAGCCGACTTGACAATCACAACCGCTAATTCCACGCCTTAACGCTGCAGAGTGAGACTGCGGTGCCCCACTTCGCAGACGGAGCCACCGTAGAGGTCACCACGTAGAAAGGGGTCCGGCATTGGCTGCGATGAGATTACAAATAACACGAATTCCAGCAGAGACGGGGACGCAAGCAGGGCAAACAACTGATTTTGCTGGGATATTAGATACTGATTCTTTTGATGATTCCTTTACCTTTTCCCTGCTTCATTCAATGTCATCCCCAGATTCAGCACTGAGTGGTGTAAGGTCAAGTTACCGTTACGCTTTTAGCTGAGTAATTTGAGCGCTTTCGGAAGACACTTTTGATGTTTAAAATATGTTCGCGCTCATTCACCGAAACTTTTCACCGCAAAGATTAGAACACAAGATCATCGTTCGCACTATCTTTAGCTTTGAGTCCAATGGTAATCCGACTTGAAAATCTAAGCCATTTTAGTAAAGAAAACGTTTTCTGTCCTGCTGCATTTCCGTATAATACTTCGACTGGACACAGTAACTTCGCAAGAGATAAATGATCATGGAGTACATAAAGTTGATGCCTGAAAATTTCACATTTTGTGAGCAGTCTAGTTTGGTATTCACACGTAGTCACTCGTTTTTATGCCGAGTTTGGGTAGGAAACTCGTTCGATTGCTTTTCCACCACATGCTTATCTATCCTTTCTACATAATTCAGCACGCGACTTCTTCCAAGCTACGTAACCTCTAATTCGGAAGACGAGAAAAAGATCGAGTGCAGACCACACACCATAAGAGAAGACGGGGAAGAAAAAAGCCACTTCTTGGCGGTCGTCCCTTATGATGCGTGGTCTGCACTCGATTTTCCTCTCGTCTTCCAAAGCAGAGTATGCATGACTTTACTTACTTTCACTTTTATCTTTCTGTTTCAATTGATCATGTATTCCAGTGCTTCAATTGTAAGCAGTGCTGAGTAAATAGAACAAGTGTTAGCTCACAAACTCGGATGCTGACAGAAACATTTCTAAACGTATTCCTTTTTCCTCCAATTACTGTTGTTACAGAACTTCTTGGTGAAGAAACGTGACGGCACTGTTTATGAAGGCAACTGCTGGCCTGGTGACTCGAGCTACATCGATTTCATCAATCCAGAAGCACGCGAGTTCTGGGCTGATCTGTTCGCATTTGACAAGGTAAGATGCAAACGCCCTGCAAATAAACGGACAAGGATAAGGTCTACATTAGAATAACATCAAGTGCTAAGCATAAATGGGAAGCTGGAAAGGAGAAAACTGCCTACTGAAGAAGAGAGGCCGGACCCTCAACGGAAACGTAGCACTGTTCGGTAGAGGGGTGCGGGTCTTGCATAACAAGGCCTTACCCGTGGTGGGGCTGCCATTGGGAGAGACCCGCCTCCAGGTAAGGTAATCGGCCTGTGATTGGTAGGGGGAGAGAATGCTGTCTGCGACAAAAAGTTCAGAAAGGTAGAGCAAGATCTTCAGAGTGATGAGTTATTTTTCGAAAAATCTCGCGGAGCGCACCAATCCTCGAGCAGAGAAGAATTCCAGTTACGGTTTTGGGTCAATCCCCAGGTCATGGGTCAGATAGACTCTGGAGGGATTTTTGAGGGATGTGGACTTAATTACACATTAACGGCGAAAAAAGCAGAAGGATTAGTCTAAAATTGCAGAACGGGACAACCTTTTTTGGTCGTTGACTGGACGAGCAATGGCTCAGATAGCGGACGCATAACGAGTTTACCGCAAAGCCTTTTGTGGCACCATACCAAACCATGCTCCATTCGAGTTGCTCTATTTGTGTCGCTGCTAGCAGCATCGTTCGTCTATGTAAATCACCACTAGTGGGCGGAGTGCCTTCGGGGCGGAGCGTCTGAGAAAAACATTTCTGAACATGTTTGATAGAGCTATTACACTCTTGTAGTTTATGAAACAGACACGGCACTCATCTTGTATCCACGGTTCTATCAGAAAACGCATATTTTCGATGTCATAATGCTTTTCAAAAATGTTTAAGGTTCATAGTTTTGCGTTTCAGTACAATGGTTCAACTAAAGACGTGTACACATGGAACGATATGAACGAGCCGTCGGTGTTCTCCGGTCCTGAGGTGATTTATACAAATTTACCGTACTGTATATGACTGTCCTTTATACAGACATGTGGTTTCGACTCTATGGGAAACTCTAGTATCATAGGAACAATCCGGGATAGATTTATATTTTTTGTTCCAAGTAAACACTACGCGACGCTTCTGCGAGTAATACTGAACGTTGCAACGAGATGCGGATCAGCACAGTTTCCCAATAGAAGATTTTATCCATCACTCACTCATTCATTCCTTTCCGCTCTCTAAATGGCGACTAAGGGTTTGCGTTATTAAAGCCACCATGCACTATGGGGAAGAAGGCTTAGCTTACCGCCTTCCAACGCACTTCGACCTGTGGTGTTTCAATATCCACGTCCTTCCAGCCAGCGCAACCACTGTCTTTACCAGAACGTAGTTATAAGAGTCAGCACCCAGTTGAGATGGTTCGAAAGAAGGGTTTGGTTGATAGGTACATATGTAAATAAATAATAGTTAGTGACAGTAAACGATTCATGCGGGGATATCTCCTTAGGTAGGATCTGCATTGTGTCGAGGAACGGTGGCCCTTCAGGCAGAGATTCTACGACAGTCCCCCCAACCTCTCGCTCATCTCCCCTCAAGGTTAATGCGACTCCACTTGAGTGCTACCACTTTTCTCCATCTTTTCTATGACGCTTCATTCATCTCATACGTCTTCTATCTACAGTACAGTACAACACAGTCTATAGTTCACAAGATAGGACAAATCGAAAGCTAAGAATATCCTCCAACGCTCCCATTCTCATGTTAACCGTCATCAGCTAATCGGGTCATAACGTTGTACGTGTTAGTGCTGATAAGCAGTGGTAGATCTACTTAGCATTTAAAGCGGAACATGGCCTTGGTATTGTAATAGGCACGCTTGTTTTTTAGTACGAGGCCTAGGTCCAAATCCTGACCGAAATAAAGCACTTTGTTCACAATTGAACATCATTATTTCAGTTTTCCGTACTATATGTGAAAAATGCGAGACTACAAAATGGTTGTTACGACAAACTGAAAAAAAAAACTTACAAGAGAGCTGCGAAATACTTCAAAAGCTTTTCCGGAGCGTATAAAAAACTTTTTGGGGAGCCTTCGCCGCTTACCATCCTTTTCAAACAATAAATGTTTGAATAAGTTTCATAGTGGGACCAGTTTCATGGTGTTTTCTTTTTTATGTCAACTTTTTTTTACACGGTACGAAGCGATTGAAGAATTTTGTGGAGGGCCGAGAATATCCACTTTATGAAGAGACCTTGAATGCCTTATCTTTTGAAACTCTCTTATAAATTTTGAGTCCACCGTGGTGAATATTATATTTGAAGTCTCACATTGTTTTTACCCTAGATGGATCTGAGACTCCGCGACAGACAATATTAACACATTCACGACGACGCCCCTTTCCCACTTTTCGGTCGCGTGGGACGGGCCGATTTTGTAGGCGCCGCCCCCTCACCATATGATCGCAGATTTTGTTTTGTAAATGGACAAAAACATGAATGTCACAAAATAATTTGTGCAATGTTCAATGCGTAAAGATCATCTAGACATATAACAGTAGAATTTCGATCAGAACGACAAGCAGTGGTTACGAAAGGAGAGCATTTATTCACTTTCTCCGTGAAGGAATTCAAAGCATTTTACACTCGATTACGAGATCTGCCCACTTATCTGTCCATTCCTAGCGCGTGGCAAGCGATTATCAGTTTTCAGCCCATATGGGCTGCCATCGTCCCAGGAGCGCATGTTGTTGGCAGCCCATATGGGCGGCCATCGGCGTGAATGTGTTAAAGGCAAACCCCGGGATAAGCCCGGCCTAGGAAGGATACCGCGAGGGAAATTGTAGGGTCCGTACCTTCATAGATTATGCCTGCATCGTTGCTCAAATTGTGTGACTACATCAACCATCGACACCCGTTGCAACGCTTCCCACCCAACCGATTGATATAGAGATCAGCGTGACTCGAACGGCGGTGCTCTCTCGCATGGATTGTCTTCTTTTTTTTACCCTGTCTTGCCATCGCATCCCATAAGACGCTACTGTAGATTTAAGCCTTGATTCTAGCGTTTCCGACGACTTCTCTTGCTTGCCTTTCTTCAGTTCAATCCGCAGCAGTCATCAGTACGAGGCGCTCTAATACACTAGTTCTATTTCGGAGCTTGCCTTTGAGATATATAGCGCTATCGCAAGATAGGAAGCCTTGAAGTGGCATAAACCGTGTGAAACCCCCCCCCCCTTTATCAAAACCCTCAAGCGAGTGGGGAAAGATCACAAGGTCGGGAGTAATTTCCATTTTCACCGAAGTAATATTTTGTGTTACATCCAGTCGAATACGTAATTGTTCTCTTCATTGCCGGTAAATTCAGGTCACAATGGAAAAAGATCTCGTCCATCATGGAGGCCTCGAACACCGTGAAGTTCATAATGTCTATGGTTTTTATCAGGTTAGTTAAAAGCGCCATCCATCGGTCGTACTCGTAATCACTTCTCGTATTTATCAACTGAATGACTACGTTACTAAATACCAACATTCAAGTTTTGCAAACAGTCCATTTAGCACGAGGCCACTTATGCCGGTCAGTTGGCCAGAACGAACAGCGAACGACGACCATTTGTGCTCACGCGATCGTTCTTCGTTGGTTCCCAACGTACAGCAGCTGTATGGACTGGCGACAACAGGGCCGACTGGGCTCATCTGAAGGTACTGACGATGCTTTAGGCACGCATTCAAGAAGTAGCCCTCGCAAACTAAGCAACTTTCTTGGAAAGTGAAAATTATTATAGCTAAAAAGTCTTTTGGAAAAGTCAGTCTCAATAGTAAAGAGACGGTAACCCACAAATTCGAGTACAGAATGCAGTTTCATTTTCACGTAAGCAGCAATTGCTCCTGAAAATCATCTATAGTCACTGCGGTGATTTCAGGCTACAATTCCTATGCTTCTTTCGCTCGCGTCTGCAGGCCTCGCTCATATTGGAGCCGATGTCGGTGGCTTCTTCGGGAATCCTGACGAGGAACTTTTGGTACGATGGTGAGTGGACTGAAACCTTCCGAATATTAGGATCCAATCCGGGTTATTAGCATCAATGGCCGCCAAGTCCCTACACCAAGCGGATAGCATGGTTGGTCGCCGACAGAACAGGACCAATTTTGCTCCACGACAACGTGAAGCCATATGTCGCATAAGGACTTTGCAAAAATTAAACGGATTGGCGTGCAAGAAGTTCATTCAGGCCTTGTATTCTTACAATCACCTTGTGGACTTTTTTTTAGGCATATGCGAGCCCAACATTCGAATACTAGTACCTTTCCAGAAAATCGAGTTTTTTTTTACCAGCCTTGGAGACTTGCTTCCTAGAAGCTTTAAACCTGTTCTATAGGAAGTGCCTTCAAAAATTGTGTCGAAAAACAATTCTTTCAAGCCACGAAAAGTATGCCCGGTAGTATTATAGGATTTCGTTTCACCTAAAGCTGATCCGAAACTTCAAAATTCCTCTAGAATTACTTTTTTCCTTGGTGAACCGAATAGAAAGCCCGTCGCGTTAACAATCCTGCTCTGAGTTTATCTACATATTCTCCTTCCTTCCCCCTTTTTCGGGTTTGAGTTTGTTCGCATTAGAATGGGACGTATCCAAACCACTCACTAGTCGTAGCTATACATACCCCATAAGTTCTAAAGAGACTGTTTACCCTTATATCAGCCGATGCTCAGAATTTTGTATAACATTCGAGATGTGTTTAGTACCACAAACAATCCTAATGAGGTGGGAGAAGTGGCTGGCCTGGGCTGAGATAGAGCATAATGGCTTCAAAAACAGCTCCAATTATAGGTATCAAGCGGGTGCCTTCCAGCCATTCTTCCGAGCTCATGCTCATTTGGATTCAAATCGTCGAGAGCCGTGGCTGTTCAATCAGACGACCACTGATGCTATCCGTGAAGCCATTAAGCGGCGCTATCAAATGCTCCCATACTGGTAAGTGTCTACTTGGTCAGAATATTCGGAACCGAGGATTATCCATTTCCCTTGAAATGTCTAACCGAACAAGGCCTTTAGGTACACTTTGTTTTACGAGCACACACTGACCGGAAAGCCACCCATGCGTCCATTCTGGATGGAATTCTCTGATGACGAGGTGACATATTGAAACCATTGTTTGTTAAATAACAAACCAAAAGTGAAACGTCCCATCAATTAGCGACTCTTTATTACCGACGTTGTGCTTCCTCTGCCTGTTGTGGGACTTTGCTGGTCCATTTCAATTTCTTGATCCTTTCCTCCGTAGTGCTCCATTTTCCTTTTTTCTGATCTTTTTTGTAATACATACTGCCAGACCGTACTGTATGCGCTGTATAGTCTTACTTCGACATACAGGTGTATGAACAGGTGAACTTCTTGACCTGGCCCGTTTTTCGTCGTCACATCCTCAGAGCCGCATCTAGAACACTAACCTTAAAGGTAAGGGATGGCTCAGTCTCACTGATGAAGTCCCTCCCCTAGATAGAGAAGGAAGGTCCACAACTGCAGTGGCCGAGCCACGTTCGCGCCTCCAAAAGCGCCATTGAAACAGTAGGCACTTAGGGCTTGGATCTTCCCACGCCCAAAAGGGTCCGTGCCCGCCCATCATTCGATATCTTACCGGTGTCGTAGTGTTGACCTCCTATCTTCTCCCCAGTTAGGCTTCATTTCTCGCGGCTCACATAATCTCTTATATGCTGTCTGCTTTTTGGACTTCCCCGAAGCGTAAAGCAAAGAAGATTGTATTTGCTGTGTTTTTGACGACATCATTTCCCTTTTCCCCACTTGCGGCCCACTTTGCATCCCTACTTGCATCGAATAGGCTACATTGAACCTGATCCTCGCCTCTACTCCTATCGGGCAGACAGACAACAAGCCAGAAACGTCTTTGCATCTCTACCCGCCCCGTGGACCTGCTAACTGATCTCGCGATTCCTCTTAATCATTGCATTCACATAGTGACGAAAGAAATGGTGTCCAGCTAATGTAGATGACTAACGCTTTCCGTTGTTTCGAAACATATATAAGCTTCGAAAAAGGAATTAGTCATTTCCTGATTGCTTGCTGCAAGAATCATCCTGTGTTTTCGATCTGGGATAAAAAGAAACCCTGCACGCACACACACCTCAAAGATGTTCAGGCAATGATGTTTTGAATGCCTGTATTCTTCAGGCAGCTTATGATGAAGATCGACAGTGGATGGTCGGCAACGCTCTACTTGTAAAACCAATCGTTGAATCAAACCCTGTGCAAGCGTCGCTCTACCTCCCAGGAAAGCGAGAGGTGTGAAAGAAGCGCTAGGCTCAATAGCAAATATGAGTCTGATTATAATGGTTGCTATCACAGATTTGGTACGACTGGGATACATCGAAACCGCGGCCATCACCGGGAGCCGTTCAGTCGCCGGCCACCTTGACGTCTATACCATTGTACCAAAGAGGAGGTAAGAGTGTAAGAACTTGCCAAAATCATTTTCCGAGAAAGTAGCAAATCAACCGACGTGAACAGGGAATCTGGACGGGCGGCCATCGTGAAATTTAAAAAGAGCAATGGTTGTAGCGATAGTGAGTCGCAAGCTTGGCAAATACCTTCTACCAAATTCTATAAGCAATCAAAGATGTTGAAGGCCTCTATGAGACTGAAAAAAATCCAAAGAGTGGCACATGAACAATGCGGTCGATGAACGCCGAAATTTTGATACTTCATCCCACTATAGGCATACTGGTAATTAGACTTCCGTAGTTTCCATCGACTTCTGAGTTGCCTAGCCGCTGCTGAACCGCGCAGTCTGTTCCGTTAACCCTTTGAAGGCAGCGATTACGATAAAGTGGGAGCGCATCGGAGAAGCATATGCACCTCACGAATAGTTACTTGGCTGCCAGGGAAACGAGGTGTAGCGCTTTCACGACGCAAGGTTTGCTGGTTGCTGAGCATCTCTTCGAAAGCACTCCGCCCCCAAAAGCGATCCACCCACTGATTTGGACGAGCTGCGTTGCAGCAGCGGCACAACTAAAACAACTTGACTGTGGCATGGATCGGCATTCTGTCACCAAACGCGTTGCGCTGAACTCGACCATACGTTCGCTTTCTGAGCTGTTATCTGTTCATGAGTGATGGCCAACAGCCAAAAAAGGGTATCCCGTTTTGCGTTTTCTTGACGGATTTCTCCGCTTTTTTCGCTACTGGCGTGTCATGAGTACCACGAGTTTTCTATAAACCTTTCTTAAATCTATCTTATCACTGCCTTTAAGGTGGCAGTTGTTTCACAATACTAATGTTAAGACCTCTGCAAGTTACGTGGTGGAACTAGCTTCATTTCACAGCAATTACAATAATCTGATTTTAACACCTTGGAGACCAAGCATGTTTTGCGTTTTGTGGCAGCGTGGCACTTCAGCGAATTTTTTAGAAATCTTGTCAAGCAAATTGGAATGAAAAAGCTAGTGCATGATGCAGAAACCTTATCAAATGCGATGGAAAAGAAAATGGAAAAAACGTATATTTGTTTCCGAAATGTGGGCCGAAAGGTCCTAACCGGTTCACGGACTGCAGCCTACATATGGGCTTCATGGGCTCCAGGTGGTAAGGGCAAAAAAAGCCACTAATAAATGGCGCGACAGCGAAGAATAAAACTGAACAAACAGCGTAAAACTCAGGAACCAAGGCCCTCCATTCTGCTCGTTGACTTTGGACAAGCTTGCGGCTTAGACGCCTTGTCTGGGTGCGCGTGTTCTCTCAGAAAAAGGAGGGTTTACTAGCTGGCTCCTTTATGGAATACACAACACCAATCGGAATCGAACGCTCATGATAACAGTACCACAAACGTCAGCAACCGCTCTTATGTTAGAGGCGAGGCGCACTGAGATGACAGTCCTAACATTTAGTGAACCCACGCTTAGGGACCAGGCGGCTTCGGAGGAAGCATGTCGGTTTTAGACTTGGAGCCTATTTGGTTTGCAAATAGTACACCAGCAGTGAAAACAATACACATTGATTCGATCGCCGTCGAGCTACCGCTTCCGCTTGTGCATACTTTTCGCTTACGCAGACCCATTTATCACATTCACTGCCCTTTAGTCTCGTCAACGGCTTGTGTAAAAGGAGAGATTTTAGGCAGTTCATAGGTGGTCGGTTGTTTAAAAGGTTTTGCAAGATCGTGAGGATCGTAAAGGCCACAATGCAATTGAAAAACTGCCATGCTAAATCCCTCATAAGAATTTCACCATTTTCTTTCCGAAGGCAACTTAGGCGGTGGTCACCTTACACCCTCATAAACGGTTTGAAAGAAGAGCAGAATGAGCTGTGTGAGAAAGGTATACTTCAAAGAAAAAAGGGTGATTGACATTACTTCTGAACAAAGTAAAGAAGCACAAGCGTTCTGCGGTGTATATGGGCCTTACGTGCCATACCATTCTAATTTCAGGGACCGTGATTCCTCTACGGGAGCGTGTAAGACGTTCCAGTGAACTGATGCGCGATGATCCTCTCACTCTATACATCGCATTGAACATGAAAGGTAATTCATGATCATTCAAGTTGCTTGATTATTTTCTCTTTTGTAAACTGTCAAAATAACCACGAATAAATTTAAAATTGAAAAACTCCAAGCAAGAACATGATCTTGAGAGGAATTTAAAGAAAATGCTTAAAATTGCAGGAGCAAGGGCTACTTTTTCTTTCATCGCTCGGCTATTGAAGCCCGCCACACCACAGCGAATGAAACGTCCCAAGAAAACTGAATTCCTAATAGAATTTGGCTTCGTGACTATGGCAGGCGTCAGGATTTGCGACCATCGCTGTCGAGATTGCTCGCGTAGTCTACCACCTGCCTAAGGCTGCTGTCATAGTCTGCACCGTCCGCACGGTCCGTGCAAAGATAGTGCGAAGAGCGCCAACACGCACTCTGGCGCACAACGCGTACTTGGCGCAGAGTCGACGCCTTACGCGTCATGCGACAGTGCGCGTGTTGACGCTCTTCGCACTGTTCGTGATGGCGCAGACTATGAAAGCAGCCTAGGGGATAAATTTACGAACCACTTCTACCGCGTAAGGCCTCTGTATAAACAATCACTCGCATCCGAAAAATTACTTAGAGCCGTAGTTCGGTAGTAGATTGCTGGCATAACTACGTAGCGGGCTTGCTGCCGAGGTCCAGTGATCCTTGTCAAGAAAACTACCACTCAACTATGAATTCTTATGGTCCTATAGGTAATCAAGAATAATCACCAATTGCCGCGTGTAAATTGAATGGTCAGCCCTTCACCCACTATTTTCAGACTCAGAGCTTGTAGGGAGTGCGAGCATAACACGTGTTCACTAAGGCAGTTCTTTGGCACTGTCTATGCGAACACATGATGAATGCAGCGGGCGGAATTGTAACGTACACATCCATATGTATTCTGAGATTGACGGCATATAAACTTCACGATCAATGGGATAATCCATAAGCAAGAACTATGAGAGGCAACTTTACCCACTAATAAAGGATGCTGTAATGTAGGTACCCGCAGCTGAACACAGGGACAGGAACGCCGGGGCGCACATGCAAACTGCCCCTGTCCAAAAGGCACGAGCACTGCAACAGTTGTGGAGAATACACTTGCTGCGAAGGTCACACGACCAAATGATGAGATTGCAGTGGATTCCGAAGTGCAGGACAAGTGATTGCGAAAGGCCCCAAAGAAGGGCAGGAAATATTTTTTCATCGAAAAGGTCCTCAATGGAGTCAAGGCTTCTTTTCGGCACCTTGGATGGGGAAGCAGCGACATTTAACAGTAGTAAGACCTTGGGACAGCGCGTCTATTCCACTACTACATACATTTGCTCAATAGAATATATTTGGGAGAGTAGACGAGAATGTACAGCTGATGCCACACTTTGCGAATCGAGCGATTCGTTAGCGTCGGTCGCGTCGCGGCCAGTGAATCATTAAATTGGCTGGTATCGTACAGATTGGCCGGTCGCCTTGCGGTACCAGCCAATCGAACGATCCACTAGCCGCAACGCGACCGCGAACGCTAGCGATTCGCTCTATTCGCAAAGTCTGACATCGGCCTACAGGTTTCCTGCGGGTTTCCTTCGTGCTTCTCCACTGCTCCACGCGCTCAGAAATTCATGAAGTCCTCAAGAAATCGCCGTAAGAAAACTAAGTGTATCATAAGAACTGTTTTCTGTAAAGGCTCTTGTCATATAGAAAAAAAAGCATACGGCATTTTAGCTAGATCCTTTCCCATGAAAAAAACACCGTTTCTCCGCAAATATCGCGTGTTTCCTTGCTATAAATACCCTCCATTGTACCGTCCGATAAAATGACCCCACACAGAGCTGCTTATACGTATGAACTGTTTGCTATTTCAGGAGATTACGCCAATGGTACAGTGTTCCTTGATGACGGCGAAACGTACGCGTACAAAAATGGCGAATACGCCTATTGGGGAATCATCTTCAGGAGGTTAGAGAATCATGAAAAGCGAAGCAATAAGTGATTCATTTTTCTTATGTACTTCAGAGAACACGATTACCTGCACACCATCATCAATAAGAATCTGGACAAGAAAGGAACGTTGGAGAGCGAAGTACAAATCGAAAAAATCATCATACGTGGAGCTAAGTTCTATCCAAGGACTGCACATATCTACCTGGATGGTGAGTGAATACTTATAAAGTAACGGCAATAAGTGCTCGTCAGAACGCTTTTCCGTGTAGCATTTATGTCACCCAACCAGCTCGCTTCAAATGTTGGCTACGGGCTCTCTAACAACAAGGACGCGGGAGATGCGCGTGTCGCAACGAGGAGTATGTCGGGGGCCTAAACGGCCTAACGCTCGCGATGCTGCGCGCCTTCTATCCCACTCTCACTGAGTGTCCGCTCGCCGACGGACCCCAGCCGCGGATAGTAGCTGTTCGGCCTAGACTAAGAACAGAGCATTCACATTGGTGACACCGCTGAGACTCGTATCAGTTCGGAACACGGCAGGAAAAAGGGGGTCCCATTTCCCCTGCTCTGAGCCTTTTTCTTGATTTTTTTCTTCGTTTCTGCAAGAGAGCCTCTACCTTAATTTCTAAACGGCTGCCTTTTCATCGAAAAATCCACCCTCAAGTATTCAAGGCGTACAGAGCCTCCAGTCAACTTTTCAATCCCTTTCAAATGTTAGAAGGCAATACGTGAAAAACCGTTCGGGTAATACTTTTGGCTATCGGTTTAGGTCATAACTGTGTGAAACTCTCCAGTCCCGAAATCTCATCATTCAGAAACTGAGAAGAATTCTAGGTGACACTTAATTTTGATAGCTTTCCTATGAACTTTTTTTGAGAAATGAAGTCTGTCAGCTCTAGAAGCAGCTGCAATTCATAGGATAACTTTTAGGTCAACGTTTTCATTCCGCCATTTGAAGGCTCGGTTGGTGTTGGTCGATTTGTGCTTTGCGAAGTAGTACTGATGACATCATTTTGTAACAACGGACTTTTGCCTTCCATCGTTAAACGCTCAGGGCCGTATAGTTCACCTGACGGCGGGGATTATCGAGAAAATTCCCTTCGAGACCTTTTTTACCTGCCCAGTTGTGTCTGCCTCAGAATGCGCATATCTTTGACAAACGTTTGTGTGGTGAAAATGAAAGTGTTGGGAGTGAAGATCCTGTAGGATTTTCTTCCTATCCCAGCAGGTTCGTTCAACACACGGCCATTGGCTCTGAAGAAGGTGACGACATCGAAATAGACATCAATTAAAGGAGGATTCCATGATAAGGTTGAAGGTCGAAGAAGGGAAAATTAACCAGTGAAAGACAGACGAACCCCCTAAAGGTGTGGACCGACACGCAATTCGCAGCGAAAGACAAGCCCCCGCAATCTAGCATGGACTACCCCCTGCGCTATCGCCGGGTATGCCCTTCGGGGAAGGGTCCATCGGATTCTTCGCCATTCCTCATGCCTTTCTTCATCCCAGATCCACTGGCCACCTCTACTTGCATTTTATATGATGGGCTGCCCTCTAATCGCAAACTTCGCCTTTCAATGTCTCAGCTAGCACTTTGTCAGACACAAAATAATGTTTAGCTAGTTCCAAAACCAATGCAGATTTCGTAGTTCCGCCTTAACGCACTGTTTTCCACAATTATTATATTTTATATAACTTGACCATGAACACTTTACAATTGCGCAACACTATTTTGCAACACATATGATTGGATTAGGGCGGAAATGGTGTAGTGGTAAGTGGCACGCTTACCACGCGAGCGGTCCGGGGATCATATCCTGGGTCGTAAGTCGCCCAGGCCAACCAAGCCTTCCATCCCTCCGGGGCCGATTAATTGGTACCAGACTTGTTTGAGAGGATAAAAAAAACTGACTTGTACATCGGCTGTTCCCCGCAAGTCATTGTATAGCCCCATGCATCCAAACGCTGCTACGAATGTACAAATGGAAGTAGAACGAGTGCCGCATCCCAATAAGGGATTGATCAAAGGCAAATGCTTTATCCTTATCCTTTATGACGGACCATGAAGTAGGTTGGTGACCACACTTCCCCTACAGATTAAGTTTGGAAGGCCTGCGGAATAGATGAATGAGAAAATGAATGTAGAAGTGTGAATCCCAGGGAGTTTCAACGAAAGCAACAATGGCCCAAACGTTTTTCTATAGTGGATTCGGTCTTCGAATAGGAAGACTACGAGTACCCCCTCCCCTGCCCCCAATTTTGATGACATAATTTCAAGACTGGTAGAAAAAAGAGCAAACAGAAGAAGCGAGCACATAAACATCCCTAGCATCTGAAGATTGCTCCAAAGAAGAGGAAGATGGATAAGTGTATAAGGAATGAGCTGACTAAGCACCAGCAAAAACGCACATTCCATGTAGTTGTTGTCATCACTCCTTCTACGTAACAAGAATGACTCGTTTCTGGGCCGTGTTTACACCTGTGACGGAAAATGGATTCCTTGTGATGAGTGGTAACATTCCACTCGGTGATTAAAACGGTGTTAACCTGGACGCTTTACAAAGCTTTTTTGCCGTTGACCGTTTAGTGATCTTTCGTGAAATTAATGCGTCAAAGGTTCCTGAGAGGGCGTCTCGTTTAGGCCACTAAAAGTGATTGTGTAGCCTACTGAACAGTTCAGCTTAGTAATTAGAGGCAAAGTTCGGGTTCAGAGCCACCTGAGAAGTCCTTACCATGGCTAGAAGTGCTGGGTACGCAAATGCAGAGGTAGCGCCACCTTTCTTCATCGAAACGGGGTACTAGGACCCTAGGCGCCATGACTTCTAACAGACTCCACCAAACTTAACATGGTCCGCCCACCGTTCGATATCTTGATATCTGCGTCGCCGCTCTGATATGCTATCCTCCCTCTTCTTGGACTTCTCTACCACTCTCCGCGCCCACATATTCTCTCACCTCTCTGCTTACCTTTTGAACTTTTCCACAGCTGGAGCAAAATGCTTATATTGCCCATGTATTTCAGGATTTTCTTCCCTTTTTCCTCCACATGCGGTCCACCTCCCACCGCTACTTTCACATTTGAGTGGAATCACCCCATCAATTTAACCCTGATTCTTGCCTTTAAGAAGAACTTAGGATGAAGGACTCTTTGAACCTCACATTAAGGCCAAGGAAGTTCCTTCTTATAAAGTGTGGCAGTGGAACTGGTATAAAGCATCTGCGTATGCACCAAATAAACAAATAAACAAACAAACGTAATATACTTCATAAATTGATATAATAGACAAGTTTCAATGTTGCAAAATAAATAAGTTGCACGCTAAAAACTGATGAGAACTCATGTTCTTCATAAAAAATTTGCTACTGATTGTTAAATATTCAATTTATCTAATAAACTGATTTAGATTTTACTCCTGAGCCTCTCGATTTTGAGTACGATCGTGACAGCCATCTGATGGAGATCAAGAGTCCGAACGCTTATCTGACACGAGACTTCAGAATTGATCTTCATTCCTAGGATCGGCAATTCATTCTTTAGAATTCATTATTCTCTTGTTGATTCGCTATGATGGTTAAGTTATGGGTCAAATGTGTTTCACTTAGATTTTCTTATTGCTAGCAAAGTAAAGATTACTCAAGAAACACGTGCACCCAGTAACATGTGATAAGACAACAAGCGGCCACTTTGTGTGCAGACCGAAGAATTTGGGCGTGACACCACCGGAAACGGTCCCAATGAACATCACAGTTTGGGTTGTTTGGGCAGCCTTATTCATATAGTTACTCATCAATGTTATTAAAGTTATTACGTCATCCATATGGTGATGATGGTGCCAAGGTAGTTGGAGGGGCCACGTGGCACTGCGGCGCTTGTTCATCTGCGCTCTTTCGCCGGGAACGTCGGTGCCACTGCATTTCGAAATTACCACGTGGCAGCAAAATAGGAAAGGCCTCTAGAACTAAGCTTAGTGCCGCCGAGAAACGCGTGGCCCATCCAACCAGGGTCAGCTGTGCGTTGCGGTGTTCCCATGAGGGGGCGCATTTGAATTTTTTAGAGGGGTTCTTATTTGGGTTGGTGAAAGTCAAAAGGGCCAAGAGGGTCGTGACGAGTTTTGGGACGGCTTGGGGGGGGAGCTTTACAAAGGAACGGGAAAGAGAAAAATTAGAGAATTTTCCGTTCCTTTGAGCATGTTCGACCCTCCCCCGCTCGTCGTCGTCGTCTTATTGTTAGACGAAAAAGTGGGCGGAGTTGCGTTGGGTCGATTGGTCTCAACCGGAAATGCCCAGTTCTCTCGAAACGGTTTATTTATTATAGAGGTACATAATGGCTCATTTTTCTTGACCAACCCTCTGAACACCAGAAATGGAGCGAGGAGAATCTCTTAGGAAGCCGTCCTTAACTTTTTTTCACAATTTTTAGCCAAAGTCTACGTATAAAGGTTGCTGATGGCCTCAATTAGATATGGCATGAGTTGTTTCCACTGACGCTACTGTTCGCGAATCTTGAAACGCCGACGCAAAATGCAAAAAAAAACTGTCACTGCCAGGATTCGAACCACGCACCACTTCTTCACCCCTTTTTAGTATTCAGAGAGACCCTCAGGGAAAATGAACTACAGTTCTGTGTTCCATGCACGTAGCCCTATATTGCAAAAAACCGTTTCGAGAAAGCTGGGCATTTCCTGAGAAATCTTCATCGTCAGAGTCAAATACAGCCAGAACTATAGAAAAAACAGCCTTTATGAGCGTCGAGAAGCGGAGGGGGCTCGCATTGGGGAGCTACTAATGCTGATTGTGATGATGAGGTTATCGAGACCCCATAGAGTGGGGGGGGGGTTCGTAAACTCTTTCAATTCTGCCCTCAGTTGACCCTGCCTCTAACCACCTTAGCACTGGGATGGTTTCCATGAGTGCGCGAATATCGGACTAAAGGACGGTCAACTTTTGAGAGATTCAAACAAGCTTAGTGAGCCGGTTTCTGTCTGGAACTTGTTATTAACACTGAAGCTTTAACCCAGCCGTGTTATTGAGGACGTTAACTGCGACAATAGATCTTATCAAAATCTCTGCGATATTCGGAAAACGCGACGATGGAGCTCACACAATACCCGGGAATGTTGTAAATAGCTAAGTAATCGTGTTTTGACGCAATGTGGAGGGTGTACTGAGACGTCTCACAGGGTGATCTCATGGGGTCACTCACATGATTAGTGCGTGGTTTCGCAATCGGCGCTGCCAAACGCACAGCGCGGAACGCGACGGGCCACACACAAACAGCCTGCCGCCGATCAGCTGATGCGATTTTGCATCTGCAACCGCGTCTCACGTATGGCTGGGCTGGCTGGCTGGCTGGCTCCTCTTTCAACCTCATACATGACGAAATCCATCTCTATGTCGTGAGTCACCAAAACAGGAATCTTTCGAGCCATCCATTCACAGATGAGTCATACCGTGTCGTTGTAGTTCGCATCGCTATTTCACCGGCGTCCGTCTGTCAGGGGGCGTGTGCTGAGTCATTTCACACAGCAACAGAATATAAAAGGGCGACCGCCTGACTCAACTCGTTTCTTGTACTACCGGTGCTGAAGAGTAATCGCCTCACATGATATCAAGAGGCTCAACAGACTCAACTGCTGGCTATCTCTAACTGCATTGAGCATTCTACTACTCGTCTGTATTGAAATTAGGTTTATTTTCTGGGTTAACAAACGCCCTGATCAATAGGTAGGTTTGTTAAGTGGTTTTTCACTTGAGTAAGCGAGATTTTGTGAAGATCATTATTCCGAAGAATTCGAAGAGATGATCCAGTTCTTCACATCCTCCCCATGCTCTCATATCCTCTTCGCCTTGTGCCGATTGTGATTTCCGTGCCAGATCCAGCGGAGGACACTTCCAGACGTGTACCCGTTCTATGGGTGATGACACATGCATGCCGGGGCGCTGTTTCGAAAACAATCGGCGCATTTTCTGACCCTCTTTCGTCATGCGTCATGTCTAATGTTGCCGCTAATCTACTGTCATGCTCATCTTTTTCACTTCTTCTCCGTATTTTGTACTCAGCAAAGGTGCTGCATCTTATGTCGCAGAATCTTTGCTGGTGCAAGCTACGTGGAACAAAGACATCGCCTAATCAGCTCAACATCATTCGAAATTCATCACTCCTAGTTTTACTTGGGCAAGTTGTTTTGTTGAATTTCCATAGAAATGCGTAGTGTTGGAGCGTCTATTATTCTGGAATGGATGCCACTCTTCCTTTAGGGTTCTGGAGCAAAAATAGGCGCAATTCCGTGGTGAGGTTCAAAGGGGGGGGGAGAGGGGCAGCCCATAATATTGCGTCAGTTTCATGAAAACGCTCAGTTTTAATACTGAGCTTTTTCTTCTGCAGACTGGCCCCCTCGGAGGCACATGGCGCCCAAAAATGCCCTTAACACATTGTCGACAGCCCCTTGTTCGTGAAAATCGGCATATTTTTGTTTTTTTTTGTGCATCGTCATCACTCCCTTAATAATCATACTGCTAGCAATTGATGCAATGTTTTTTCTCAGATAATGTGATTAGGAGTTATGAAGTATGAAAAATAAAATACCTGACAAGTCGATCAAACGCCCCCATCTACGTGAGACGCGCATGCGCGTCATGCTGTCCCCAATGTGTCAAATCTCGTTTCAACGACATTCACCTTAATTCAGGTACATGCGTGATTTTACACACGCACACAAATTACACCTAGTCCCCTTCTCAGGGCGATTCTGAATAACAAAGAACATTTGAAGGGTTTTTGTCCCCTCCTGAGAGAAAAATAGTGTGCGGCCCTGAAGATCTGCGCTGGGATGCGTATGTCGGTAGGATTTTCCAAATTGTACTTTCTCACTATTCAATTACAGGTAAATGCAGGCATCTTCGCAGACGTCCATTTTTGTCTTAGGCTCAAGATTTTCCGGAACCTTTTTCACGACTGTTTAAGAGTATACAGTCATTCCCATACCGTGATCGAGACATACCGTCACCCTGGGCGCGAGTCCATGAGAAGGAGCGAATTATCATCAAAATAAATGCCTCATGTGTCCGGTGTCCGTACCACGTGGATTGATAACAAACAATATCATCTACATATATCTACAGTGTAGTCTGCCTGTGAAGGGATCGCAGATGCCATCAATATCTCCATTTGTCTCCGTCACGTGTAGTAATAACCAAGCGGAATCTCTCTGCTCTTAGGTTAGAGCATGCATACCGTCCGTTCAAAGTGCTATGAAAAACTCTTACCACTGCGTTGGCGTCCGGTGTTTACTCAATGTTTCAGCCTTCCTCCAGCTGGTGACTTCAGCTCGCGTCATCCCTAAATTATTTTATAACATGTGGAGTCCATCGCGTCTCGATAAATAGAGTTGTTGGTTAGGGAATAGCTTACATCCGGAAATTCAGTTTTGGATTCCGTCCGTAGGTGTATGACCGATCTCGTTTAAGAGCAGCGTTTTCCCTGGCGTCATCCGCCCAACTAGAGTCATCAAAGGTAACAAAAAATAATCTACTGCACAGTTTTTCTGTTTCATCAAAAAAGTTGTCTTATCCAGTTGTATGGCAGCTCCATTTCCTTGAGTGTCAAGGTCGATCAAACTTCATTTGCACACGCGGTATTCTACCGGATATGAATTAGCGCACTTATATCAAACAAAAAAATAAATATATTGCTTCAGCTTATCGCCTTTTACCCGCTAGCGAGGTGCTGAATTCAGGATACGCTGTTGGGTCTGTAGATCATGCGTTTTCTAATTATTTCCTATTCCTCGATCTTTTTGATAGTTTTATGCACCTTGATTGCTTCGGAACAAAGTCAGTCATGCTTTGATTTCATGAGAGGCGTGGTTGCAGCAGTACGACCCCCCACCCTCAAATCGGGGTCGTGATACAAGCCCGAGCAATGTGAAAGTCAAGTTTTGAGAACGATTGCTAATTCATCGGCAGTTCGGCAAGGTTGATCCCTGGGTCAGATAGGCTGAAACCCCGTTCCAAATCATGGGAATCTACACCCTCATTGAAAAGGTACCATTTCTCTTAACCTTTGAACAGTATGTAATAGAGTTAGACAGAGCTAGGTCCTTGTTACCTACCAGCGTTGAAACTGCGCTAAGTGCCCTCCATTCAGAGGCAGGGTCGGTCCTATCGTTGTTACTTTTTCAAAAATTTTTACGACCTCCCTCCCCAAGGTGGATTTGATACAATCCCCTTTTCCACACCTCGACCGCTACCATCGTCTCCCATTTAATTCTCATACTACTCAACTCACCAAACTCCGCCCACTTTTCCCTTAAAATTGCCATTGAGCGGGGGGGGGGGTACATAGCTACTCCGAAACGGTAAAAATTCTCAAAAATTTCCTATAGTCCTTTCTTTCCACCATTTCACCCCTACTTTTACCCAATTTTACCTATCTTCCCACAACCTCGTTTTCTAGGGGAGGCATATATGCACGCTGAAACGGCGAATTTCTTTCCCATGCGCTCCCAACTCACCCAG